CCACCTTTCGCACAGCAGACTGCTGCAAAACGTACAAGAAGTCAGGTTCTTTAAGGTGTTCTCTGGCATGTTGAGCCATGCTGACTCCATTGCAGTGGCCAGCTGTGCTAGGTTATGCAGTTGAGGATCCATGGCCAAACAACCCGATTGAGGTAGTTCCACAGATTCTCAATTGGGTATAAGTTCAGGGAAGTTGCTAAGCAGGGGAGTATGGTAAACTCATCCTGGTGCTCTTTGAACCATGCATGTGTACTGCGACACTTCCTATTGTCCTGCTGGTAGATGCCTTCATTCTAAAGAAAAACAATTCACATGTAGGGGTGGATATGGCTGCGTATTTCTGTTGATTCATCGTGGCTTCCACAATGATGAATGCACTCAGAGAATACCAGGAAAACATTCCCCAGACCAAAATGCTCCCTCCTCAGCTTGGACCCCAGCAATTATTGCAATATTGCCGAAAATTGTTTGCTTTCGAACATTTCACACCGCATATGCCAATGTCCATTTGTCCGGTGGAGCATAAAGCACAATTCATTGGAAAAAGCCACCTGTTGCCGCTCAGTGGACGTCAGCCTTCATCGCCAATGAACTGCAACCAGCATAGGTGCTTTAACAAGGTGTCTGCCTCGGAGGCCCATGCACAGCAATGTTCGCTGAACCATTGTTGAGGAGACACTGTTGGTAGCCCCTTGGTTCATCTGGGTGGTCAGTTGCTCGATGGTTGCATGTCTATTCGCCCAAACACATCTCCACAGCTGTCTTTCACCTTTGTCATCTATGTCTTGTGGTGCACCACGCTTTCCATGTCACTGGTTTTGGATAGTGCATTTTCCCACGTATGGTATACTTTTACCATGGCGGCACGCAAACAATTTACAAAGTTCATTCAGAAATACATTTCAGAATTTCTTCCACCCTTGGCCTGAAAGCTGGTGATCATGCCCTTTTGTACATCAGATAAATTGCTCCATTTTTGCATTACGTCAATGATTGTAATGCTTTCTGATTCTCTTGGACACCCTTTATATACGCCCCACTGCGGTGTGCTGCCACCTGCCTTCTATGATTGGTTATTTTACGTTGACTTCAAAATTAGGTGGTAGTCGTATTAATTTGACTGGACTGTGTATAACTTTGAACAGTTCTATGTACCTAATTCAATTCTATTACATAGAGTTTCACTTCGTTACAAATTGTCGAAATTACCACCTGAGTCATAAAATAAAGATTCAATAACTGCGGAACAGGAAAGATGGGTAAAAATTAAACAGAATTAGATTAGCAAAATAATTAAGTTTAAACACCAAGCTAGAGTAATGAAAAAGAAAATTTAAATTTAAAAATTAATAACCTTGAGGATCATCCAAACAAACCACCAATAAAACCAAACAAAACTAAAGTTTTTCAAATAGAAATTAAAATAGGTTAAATCAAATTCACCTTTAAGCTAAAAAGATTAACAATAGCAAAATTAAGTAAAACATTTACAGCTCAAATCAAACTTTAAAAATAATAACTTTAACAAAACTAAGCAGTTACTAAAATTAATATTAATCAAATTAATATTAACACAACAATGCATGGCATAGTTATTATTCGGTGTACACTAAAATATATTTCGAAAACACAACATTTTGATTGAATGTTGAAACTAGGGGTGCAGATAGTCAGAAAATACACTTGAAAAGATTTAGGAAGTGTCTTAAAAATTTATGAGAAATTTTCTTAAAAGATTTGATAATTTTTATAATTTGAAAGTGATTTCTTAATTTCAATAATTTAGCAGCATTTTCTTAATTTCTTATATATTATGTTTGATAGCTGCATCTGCATAATACCTTTATCATTTATTGCTATAAAAAATTTAGACATAGATTAAGAGAGTTTCTTTGAAATTTATTATACTTGTATTTTTGAATAAAAATGCAATTTCTTGATGTTTCTGTGTGTTGGACTGAAATTCTGATTTTGTGATATATATATTTCATCCATTGCTCATTTTTTAATAAAAAAATTGTGTCTAATTATTAAAAAATACTCAGTGTATGGTTTCTGAAAGTATATGAATCTTTTTTCATCTTCTAATGAGCTCTGTAAGGTACATGAGATAAAGTTTATTTATGTGTTCGGAAAATGCTTTAATGTATTCCAAAGAAATATTTTCAGTATTTGTACCATTCACAAGATTCTGTTCTAATACTTATTTCTATTCAAAAGAATGCTGAACTTTTTTCAGTTATAATCAAGAAAAAGTTCTATGATAATAATGACTGGATTTTTTTCAATTTAAAGCAAGAAAACATTTGATGATAATAATAACTTCTAATAATGGCTCAAATTCTTGGTACCAAAAATCATTTTCTAAAAATGAAATGAACCTACAACCTTGGCCAAATGCTAATATTGCATTTATTTTTAAACTGTTCCAAGATAAATATGAAAACCAAACTTTTTATTATTGAATTTAAACAATATTTATTTGCAGTTTTAATATTTGATGTTTCTACTTTAAGATTTAATTATAGCAGCAACTTTGCTCATCATACTAGCCACTAGTTTATGACACTTTTATAACGTTCCAACATTGTAGCATACAAATTTGCTCAAGAGCATTCTTAAGAGTAGCTTTGGATGTAACTGAATATTATCATAGCTTTTCAGTTTAAAAGACCTCTAAGATGTTCTCTGGAGTTATGATGTGGGCATTGTGATGATTAGTTTAAAACATCAATATTATTATTACGAATCCACTGAATTGAAATTGCCAGTTTGAGGCATGGTGCATTATCTTGCTGAAATTTGATACAATCCATGTTGACTGAATAATTTACAAAAAGTTAGATTTCAAGTTGTTTCAAGAACAGTAATGTATTTTTTGTTGTTCATGTTATCTTCATAAATGAATATTTTGCTTACAGCAATGGCCACCATGCATCCCCCAGATAATTCCCAGAAACCTTTCTGCATGTTTTACAGTGGGAACTATATTCTCTGTTGATAATTTTCACCTTTTCTGTATTGCAGATAGGATTCAGAAGGTGCACCAAACATATAAAACTCGAAGAAAAAGTGATACTTCTTTCACAAACTAGTTTCTGCCCAAAACCTTTTTGAATATCCTTGAAAGATTATTTTTATTTGAAATAGGTACAAAACAATGCTTAGCTGAAAGCTTGAATTATCATAAAAGACAATATTTGATGGTTCTTTCTCTGTAAACTCAGCATATGATAAAACCCATTTTAATCCCAATGCCCCTCCCTCCCTGAGGTCTACCACTTCTTTGTAACTTTTCAATCTTTCAAACTAGCTGCTGCAAGTCTCCGTTTCACAATTTTAGCGGTAATTAGCCCATGTTCCTCTGATAACTGAGAAGCAAGTTTGTAAGAAATTTTTCTTCAATTTCCCTCTGACTTTCGAAACAAAGTTTGATTGTCATAGTTCAGTATTGCTTTTTTTTGTTAAGTACCTTTTCTGTTTAAGTGTGAACCTGTTTTCTTAAAACATTCTGAGCTATATTATACAGAATTCTATAAACATTTCATATATTTAGCAATGTTAACCTAAAATTTTGTTTGCTGATCTGTAGCAAGATCTGATACCATTGCTGAGCAATCTTTATGTTTTGGCTTTTCCTGTCAAAACTAATTAGTTTTCAAAACTATCAATTAACTAGCTGAATACAATAATGCAACTTCCTGTAAAACAAAGTAGCATGAAAATATTAATTTTTTTTTTAAATAAAACTTTAAAAAGAAATGCAGATAAATATTTTTATACCTGGCTACTGCTATTAAAGATATCTTAAAAAGATGAAGATGCCTAATAATCTTGGCCATGGCTGTAGTTATAGTGAATAACAATTTTTGTATTATTATTATTCATATTATGTTTGTGACATAGCCTAAGTATTAAAAGAAATATCAAAATAATATTTTTTAAATATTTGACATTATCACTTGTACAAGACTGAAATTCTGTATAAAATGGAATGAAAAAATACATAATAAAGTACAAAAACTATATTGAACAAAAAATATAAAAAGGTCATTTATTTGTAGTAGATGACTGGTTATTTGACATTCATGAATGAAAACTTAATTCATCCTAATTAATTGTTAATTAAATACATACAATTATTAACTTATTGTTAATTTTAATAGTACATATTTGTTCTACTTTGTGTATAATGCAATATACTTTACCCATGTCACTCACATGCTTAATTTTTAATTCACCATAGCACAAACTCAATTTTACTAAGTGACTTATTTATCAGGCAGAGCACATTATAATTTTTTTCGCTATTTCTTCAAATGTATTTCTTCTTTAATATACAACTTTTATGCTGTGCACTCTGTTTTGCAGTCCTTTTATTTTCTAATAAAGCGATTTTATTATTGTAAGCATAAAAAGTAAGTTTTTGTATTGAATTCAATGTGTTCGAATTATGTCGTGTTTTATTATGTTTCTCCCAGATGGTATTGTGGTTAGGGAAGTCTACTGCAGTGCCAAAGGGCTCGGGTTCGAATCCCGGAGAAGGCATGGATGTAAACTGTCTGTCTTTTCATAGGAGGTAATGGTAGCCTCCTGTTAGATGCCTCCATAATAAAATGACCACAGCTTTTGCCCTTAGTAGTGGTGAAAGCCTAAAAATAGCTAGTGTCCGACATAATTTTTTTTTTCCAAAACTGTTTTCCCTCCCTCACTGTGAGGTTGCTTTAATAACAGACATTCCTTAGTTTCTTGCTAGTTTACATATTTTGTTAATTAACTATCATTCAATTTCATTCATATTGGTTAATAAGGACTGTACTGTTTATTATTATTTTTGTGTCTGAAACAAGATTTTTATTTGTTTAGATTCCTCTTTATATGTAAGTATATAAGTGCACTGATAGAAATTTATGCAAAATTTTATTATTGAGCTACAGTGTTAAATCATATTTATTGTCTGACAATTTTGAGTACAAATTGCTAAAATTCTGTCATTTCAGCTATCGGCAAAGAATATTCCATTTCTAGTCCAGCCAATAGTCCAAGCCAAACTACTGATGATGGTGCAAATAATTCCAGTACTAGTCAGAAATTAGTACAATGTGTGGAGATTTCATCTCCCTCTGTAAATTTTGTTATTGTTACCTTTTTTTTGAAATATTTATAGAATAAGTCATGTATTTAATTACTGTAATAATAATGAATATTTAAGTTTATATATAATTTTCTTTCCAATTATAGTGTATGACATTTTAATGTGTACTAGGTTTCAAAAATATGCATAGTTCTTACATTTTTTTAAATTTAAATTATTTCATACTGTCAGTGGAATAATTATATCTTTTTCATCCATGAATGCAATCTGTTACAACTTTAAACTGCTTACTATATTGTATGCTGTGCAAAAGAGGCTTTTTGCTTAAAATATGAAGCATGAGCAATACACTATGTAAAATTTTAAGTGTCTTTATTATATTAACCATCATGCATGTACTAGTAAAATTTTATTTCTTTAAAATGTCAAATTTTTACTTTGTGTTTTAAAATTTCATTGAAATTTATGTATTAAAAGAACATGCATTTTTGGATTGTTATTGCATAAGAAAATACTTAGCAATAAAAAAAATATCCAGTGCATTTTCTCTCCATATGAATTTTGAGACGTAATAAATAGAAATATGAGACAATTCAGATTTCCCCCCCACACACAAAGACGACTGTTTAAAACTGTTCATAATCTGTTAAATCAAAAGTTTCTTATGGGAAAGAAAGTTGCTCCTTGTGGTGCACCTTAGGCAACAATTTTGGTGGTGAAATAGCTGATGGATATTGGCCATTCCCAATAAATAAGTTATGTCCTTGGACAATGAATAAGCAGTATGCAATAAGCTGCAGGTATACAGCTAACAAATAAGTGATATGCAATAAACTGCAAATGTCCTGCTGTTTGAACAGCAAGAATAAGTTTCATAAAGAAACTAATAGGTTTGGACAGTGTTTTAGTACTTAGAGTACTCTAGTACTTAGAATGCTAACAGTTGTTAAAAGTGTTTTCATCACATCTTGTGAAAAATGCTGTGTAATGTAAAATCAAGTATATTTTTGTTACGTCCAAGTATCTTCTTTAATTGTATACAAGATGAGGGATAAAAAATGGCATTAAACAGCTGGTTGTGCAGATTAGTAAATTTCAGGATGTGCAAGGTTAATATATTAAGTTGCATCCCCTAAGATTTTGGCAATCTGTAAAATGCTTATTCTCTCTGATCCTACTTGGTGCCTCTCAAAGTCTTACCAGACTCTAAAAGAGTTGTTTTCATAATTCTTGTCATGGTAAATTGAATGTAAAGTAAAGCTGCAATACCTTTTTAAAAATATTTTGAAAATTTCTTTCCAGTTCAATCAGTCATCTTGCAAAAGTATTTAAATTGTATTATTATGAAAATATTATATATAAAATATTTCCTTCACTTTCTTAACAAATTCTTTTATTTTATTCGGAAAGCAATTAAAGTATTTCTCACATGTATTCATCTAATAATAATAACCAGCACATCCTGGTAGTGAACAGAATACCTGGATTTAATTCTTTGTGAGAGCACAATGGCTTTTTCAGTGTCTGTTCTCTTTTAAAAAAACTAATTACTATACAAAATTTTCTTGTGATAATAAAAACACACATTATCTTAAAATATTTAAAAAATTTCTTGAATGATATCTTCTTATGAAGTGACACTTCAAAAAAAATTTTAACCAAATGTTGCTCAGATTTTTGTTTGAAAGATTTGATGTAAAATGCTTATGATTTCTGAAGTTTATTAGCCATTTTACTATTCCCTAGACAGTCTTGTCAATTTGAAGAGTGTCTTCAATGATTTTGAATGATTTTTATAATTCAAGTTATATCAAATGCCCAGTGGTCATCTTAAATATCAGAGTAATTTATATATATGTAAGAAAAATGAAGAATATGTAAAAGATTAAATTAGCAGGGCAAATTAATTTCCCTTCTCTATTCTAAAAAAAGTAACCTCTATTTGCACTGCTTCATTTCGAGAAAAATCTGTGTCATATGATTCTTATGTAATTATGGTGATTTAAATGGAATTAAAACTCGACCAGCCAATAGTAATTTTACAGCAATAATAACTATCCAATCAAAATGCTTTGAGAACCAAAACTAACTCAGTTTGACTTGAGATTTGCTCCTGAACATTACGCACTTGCTTTCCACGCTTTGGCTTAGCTATACTGCTGTCTGTCTGCTGCTGCTTTCTTGCTACAAAGTTATCAAAAATGTAAGCCTTTTGGAACAGTCACATTTAATGTGTCGACTTGTGTGTAGCCGCAACATGTTGCTGAAAATAAAACTGAAGATTTAATCTGCTTTCGCCTCCAATTTCCTAGTCATTATGGATCAACACTTCTACACAATCAAAAATTCCTGCTCCTGAATTTATTACACATACACATATATATGTGTGTAAATTAGCTAAATTGTAAAAATTAGCTAAATTGCTAAATTGTAAATTAGCTAAATTGGAGGTTTCTTGTGCTTCTACCCTAATAAGACTGTAAGAAACCTCGATTTGGGCTAATTTACCATTTTTTTGCACTTCTTTGTATATAATTTCTTTGGATTTAAAATGTTTTTGTTTGCATACATTATATTAAATTTTTGATTGTAAAAATTTAATATAATGTATAGTCTTTACTTAATTTCATTTTTGTTTTTGAACTATATATTGTTGTAATTATTACAGTAGGTTTTTTTTTTTTTTTTTTTTTTTTTTTTTTTTTTTTTTTTTTTTTTTGCATTAACTTTTACTGCTTTTAATATAGTATTCTTGTTTATACTTGGTGTAACTTCTTTACTCGGGACTGCATATCAAATGTGATTAAAGCATAGCAAATCTCTACTTTCCTTACGTGCAAGTATATATATATATATATATATATGTAATAAATTCAGGAGCAGGAAGCAATGACTAAGAGCAGGAATTTTGAAGTGTTGGAAGAAGTAGAAGTGTTGATCCATAATGACTAGGAAATTGGAGGCGAAGGCAGATTAAATCTTCAGTTTTATTTTCAGCAACATGTTGCGGCTACACACAAGTCGACACATTAAATGTAACTGTTCCAAAAGGCTTACATTTTTGATAACTTTGTAGCAAGAAAGCAGCAACAGACAGACAGCAGTCTAGCTAGGCGAAAGCATGGAAAGCAAGTGCGTAATGTTCAGGAGGAAATCTTAAGTCAAACTTAGTTTTGGTTCTTAAAGCATATATATATTGCACTAGGGTTTCAAGCTACAGACACTTTTAAAATCGACTAGTCTGTTTCAAGGGAAATGTTGAGCTGGTTAATATGTGAAGTCCAGACATGTGTAACGTATTTAAAAAAAATTGTGAGGAATAAAAAAAAAACTAATTTAAAATGATTGCTAGATGTACTGATTGAAGTTGAAATTTCCTAAATTTAATCAAATAATTCTTATACTTAAACATTTAAGGAATTAATCTTTTTCCCTGCATGTTTTTGTTAGTGTAACTGTTTGCATATCTGGCTGACAATCAGAAATCAAAAGTTTAAACTCTAGCAAGGGACTAACTGATTTTTCAGATTTCTTGGTCTGAGAACAAGATAAGCTCTACAAAAAGTGTAGTACGCAGTAATATGTCTCCATCTGAGTTTCACCAACTGGATATTGTTCCCTTCTTCCCACTTGCCCTTTAATTGAGGGGAAATATGAGGAACATTTCCCCTTTCCACTGTGTGTTTTTGTGGTGTAACTGGTAGGAAGCCCAGCTAGCAGTTGGAAGATCCAGGGTTCAAATTACAGCAAGAGCAGAACTAATTTTTCTCATTTCATGCTTTATTTCATGCTGTTGGCAAATTTTTTAAAAGAAAAAGTTATGATGAATTATTTAGATAAATTATTAACATATCTTTAAACTATAACTGAACTACAGAAATTAATATATATATGTGTATATACACTACCCTCCAAAAGTTAAGGAAAAGCATGTTTTTTGTGTCTAATTTGAGAATGAAGCACTATAGAAACAAGAAATTTACAGGGCATGTTCACTGAACAGTTCTTTAATGAATGTGACATAGAATGTTTCTAAAGTTAAATACAAACATGAATTACAATAAAGAATTGCACTTTTAACAGAGAAATCCAGTCTTGGAGAAACAGTATTTTACAGTCTTTTTTTGAGGAAAAATGGGGAGGTAACATTACAAAAATGAGTTCTGATGAGGAATGTGTCCAAGCTTAGCTGCAGTCTAGCTAGGCCAACGACCTTGGAAGAGACTTAAAGCAGTAACCTGTATCCAAGGTAATCCCAAAGATGCTGCATCAGTTTCGGGTCTGGGAATTGAACTAACATTCCATCTGCTCCATACCGTGACCCTTAAGAAATTCTTCAGCAACCCAAGCTTGGTGCCTTGTCGTCCATCTTTGTAACTGTGTCTTTCCACAATGTGGGATTGGTTGTATGTGGTGCATTGTTCCCTCCAGATCAACTGACAACCTGAATCACTCTCCAATGTGAAACTGAACTCGTCTGTAACTGATAATGGATGCCCATTGTTGACTGGTCCAGGAGATGTGTTTCTCTTACCCAACATAAAGGGGCATCTCTGTGTTCTTGGGTCAAGCAGACACAAACAACTAGTATGTTGCATACTGACCTGTATTATGAAGGCTTCTACACACTGTAGTAGCTGCGATTCTTGTTCCTGTTGCCACTAAATGATCTGTCATGAGCTGAGACACAGTAATGTTACTCCTCCTTCGGGCTGAAAAAGCTAAATATCAGTCTCTCACAGGACAAGCGCCAAGACAAACGTGGCTGTAGTGCGTCGAATAGTCGTCAATGATAACGTTGGGGCGGTTCGGCTTGGCATAATCATCCTATCTTCCCTCGCATTTGTGCTCCTTGGCCTTCCGGAGCCTTCATTTTGTCGGCAATTTCCTTGTAGCAACCATTGCTGCCAACATCTTTGCACAGCAGTGTCTGTACACTGCTGTAACTCTAGGTCTGCCTGTAACATGTCTCCTAGACAGAGAATCATTTGATTTAAACTGATTCCATAGTCGGTGGACCACACTACAAGAGACATTGAGACATCTAGCAGCATCAGCTTGTGATATCTCCATTTCCATCCATGCGAGAGCCTGCCACCTTAACGAATTGGGCAATCAACTTCTCCTCAACATTGAATAGACTCTCCTGAATATTGTACACAAAACTGTAATAACAACTGAAGATCAACATTTGTGAACAAAAATTACAATTTTTGCATTATTTTTCTCCAATTCCTATGTAAGCATTCATTTATATAAAAATAAAAGTGGTAGCTATTGTTTTTGCATATATTTTCTTAACTTTGTTACTGTGAATTTAAATGTTACTGACATTTTTATAGTGGTGAGCTTTGAAAAACATGCTGTTCCTTAACTTTTAGAGGGTAGTGTATATACACTCTTTTGCAAAAAAATAGCAGCACTATGAAGGAAGTGGTTGTTTTTGATGAAATTGAATATGTGCATAGCTCATACACAGGTAATAAAATGATTAAAAAATTAAGGTCATAGTATCTGTTCATGGCCCACAATTACTCACTGAGTGTTTAAATTAGTAGTTGGTCGAACAACCCCTGACGGCAATGCGTGCTTGAATTTGTCGGGGCAAGGAGTGGTAGAGGTTCCTAATATCATCCTGTGACACATTCTGCTAAACATGCATCAGTTGTTGCTCCAGATCTGCAATATTTTGTGGTGCCCAAATCTGGCAGCCTACCATGCCTCAGACATGCTCGATTGGTGAAAGGTCTGGTGACCATGCTAAGGAAGAGTATCAACCACATGGAGACAGTCCAGAAATATGCGAGTGGTATGTGGCCTGGCATTTTCTTGTTGGAAAATGGCCCCAGGATGACGTGCCATTAAGGGTAATGGAACCGACCGCAGGATGGTATCAACATATCGTTGAACTGTTAAAGATGTATGGAGGATGACTATAGATGACCTGTGATAAGAAATAGTGCTCCACACCATCATTGGGACCGCTACTCCGTACTCTCCAGACACAAACACGATGGTCATCTGCTTCAAGAGTGAAGCGGGATTCATCGCTGCACACTATACGATGCCAATCTGATCGGCTGTGACAGCACTCCAGACGACTCAGCCAATGTTGTGGGGTTCAAAGGCGAACGTTTTAAAGGCCTTTTTGAGCATAACTCCACCTCAGACAAGCGGCAAGACAAACGTGGCTGTAGTGCGTCGAATAGTCGTCAATGATAACGTTGGGGCGGTTTGGCCTGGCATAATCATCCTATCTTCCCTCGCATTTGTGCTCCTTGGCCTTCCGGAGCCTTCATTTTGTCGGCAATTTCCTTGTAGCATCCATTGCTGCCAACATCTTTGCACAGCAGTGTCTGTACACTGCAGTTGGCAGCTTATTGCGCGGTATGTCCATCCAGCTTCACGCAACCCTACAATGGGACCACATTCGAAGTTGTTTATTTGTCTGTAAGGTCTTCGATATCGTCATAATGGCATCTTTGGTTGCTTCTTTACGGAATCACAATGGCAGCAACAAAAAAAGATAAATTTTCCGCCTCTGTTAATGGTTTTATACTTTGTGAATTGCACACTAGAAATGCGCACTATGATTGCAATTCCTGTTCATTTGCCATTAAACTTTTGATCATTTGCATGTTCGATCAAGATGTTTTTGCATACCAAATTTCGTCACGATCACAAAAGTCCTTGTGCTTCAATGCTTTTGCAAAAGAGTGTGTTGATATCCATGTGCAATTTCGTATTAAAAGTTATACTTTTAATAATAAATTGCACATTATTTTGAATCTGAATGTCTTTAAATGCTCTAATTTGTAGTTATAAAATTAACAATTAATGAAGGCTTATGAAAATGAATTCTTAAATTAATTCAATAGTTCTTAATATAAGGAAATATGTTTTCTGAAAACTAATTTAAAGCTTGAAATGTGGAACTGTAATGTGAAGAAAAGTATTTAAAATAAGATAGATCAGGAACGAAACTGTTGTGTTTTATTATCTTTTTGCGTCAATAAATTAATAACAGAAAATTATAAAATAATCCTCCTCTCAATATTTTTTTTGGAAAGGGTTGCATTTTTCCCATAAAATACATACACCCCCAGGGGAAAAAAAGGAATGTATGCTTTTTTTTACATATTCATGTTTGATTTTGTAAGTAGTAAATTTACAATAGTAATAAGCAATTTAATTATATTTATTGTTCAGTTTATGTTCTAAGTTAAACATGCTTGGTATTGATATAATGAATACCATTTTTCAAAATAATTAGCAGTCCTCCCCTCCCCCAATCACCATCTTTAACTATGCAGATTGTGACATTTCATGTATTGGATTATTTGAATTATAGAAAAGTAATTATCTGCCAAAGAAAGGGAATATTTTCATGGAAGATTGTTAAGAGAAATGGTGTTGTATTTGTATTACACAGAGGAATAACCATGAAAATGCCTATGCAGCCAGCTCATTTGCTGGGATTTGAATCTGGATCAAACTAATTTTTAATGCTTGGTCACTGTGAAATCATGAAATTTTTATTTAATAAATGCTCATGTATGTTAAAACTTTTGTTAAAGTTTTTTAGATTTATTTAAAATTTATTTGCTGCTGGTAGTGCACTGTTATCTTTTTCTCTTAAAGCATTAAATGTTAAATATTCAATTAAACAAATTTGTAATATAAATATCTGATTCATAATATTTAACAGTTAAAATTAGTGGAGTTATTTTATTTTCTTATACATATTATAAAGTTCCAGTTATTTTGTCTGACTTTAGGAAATTTATTTTCTGCTGCATGCATGTCTCTTTTCATACTTAAAATACTGAAGTGGAAATGTTTTCCACAATTCTTAAGATAGGTATCCTGTCACAGAGTGTAGTGCACTTCAGTCCTTTCTTCTTCAGAATGTAACAGTGTTTGATAGTTACATCCTTCTGAAGACTTTTTAGTTTTCACTAAAGATGTTTTTCTGAAAGTAATGTATGACCAGAATCTTTGGTTTAAAAGTTGGTGTCTACTTTTAAAATAAGCTTAGCATATTTTATATTGAAACAAACTAGGTAGATTTTCTTTACTAATTTTATTATAAGTATTATAGTAATTTAATTACTGACTGTATCTAAAGATGTCTTCAGTTATAAAGTGTGGAAAATATTATAATTATTTTGCTTACTGTTACACAATTTTATAAGCTTTTGCATGTATGTCAAAATGTAAAAATATTTCACACTGGCTCATATTTTTCTTTTTTACTATTATTGTAGGCATCTTACCTTCAGTACCAAAGAGCAAAGGCATGTAGCAGCTTATGTAATTTGATTTATGATTTTTATCTATTTATTTTTTTGCCATTGTTTTAGCTCTTGATGAACTTTTTCTTGAGCAGAAAAATTGCTTGTGGTGGAATATATATTTTACTGAGCACATCCTATTTAAATGCATGAAAATTTTATTGAAATGATATTCCATTGGTTGCATGTATTTGTGCACTGCTTGTTTAAAATGTAGATTTTTTGCACTTTGAAGAAAATCTTTTAACATAAATAAGGCTTCTGAGATTAATTGATTATATTAACATTGCCATTGTTTCAGGCTAGTGTACTGCATTTCAGTTTTAAAATATTCTTTACCAGTTACTTATTTTATTTTAAAGTCTTTGTCATTTTTCTGAAGTTAAAATTTGGTTACAGTGTGATAGTTAAATTACATTATAAAATGTAACTGAATTAAATACAAATACTTTTATCACATTAAAAATTTGTAATAAAGCAAGTAATCTGTGACATGTTATATATTTCCTATTTTTAGCACAAACAGCATTAGCCCAGAAGGGTTATTAATTTCATTTTGGCATTTTATGTCAAAAACTTGAAATGTACGTTTCACTTTTAAAGTTGTTGCCACCAAATATTAGAACCCTGTGTTATATTTAAAGAAATTAAATAATGAAGAATCTGTATAAATGTTTTTCGCATTATGATAAAACAATGGTACCTAGAGCCATCCAATTTTGAATGATGTTATCCCTCATCGAATGTAAGCATCTGGAAGCCCTAATTTGGAATTTGTTTTATTATCGATTTCATATTTTGTAACACTTTAACAAATTTTTGATTAACAAACTCAACAATTTCAAAGCGAGCAGTGGCAACACTGTACAAGGGGGGGGGGGAAATTATCTTCAGCAGGCAAGACTGTGTATCAGAAATTCTAAAGTTATGCTCATTTTAAAATTATTTTGTGATATTGCTGTTGAATTTAATTTTATGGTTTAAGTCAGAGAACATGATATTCTTGTATAAATCTAAAATCTAAAAGCTCTCAGATTTTTTAATAGTTTTTATTTTTGAAAATAATTTATAAATTTTTTGTAATATTAAAGAGAGTTTTAATCATTCTGTAGAACATTATAGCTGTTCAAAGTCAAACTTTAAGAAGATTATGTGCATATATATTTTATCTGTAGTTTAGTTTCTTTTATAGAAAGGTCAATCATTTTATTCAAGTTTCACCACCATATGATATAACAAATGTAATTAAATCTGAAACAAGGAAAAGAATAACACCAAGTATGACAGTTAAATTATAATAATATTATGTAATATATATAATAATATATACTTAAAGAAGACAGAAGATTTGCATAACACTGATATTATGTTATTTGAAGTGTAATTCTGTTTAATTCACACAATGGCATAATCAGATAACAAAAGGAAAGATTTGTGCGAAGGCAAAAAGCAAAGGTATTTGTGCCTTCATTATATTTTTAAATGTGTGTATCATAATTCTTCGAATTTTTTCAGCAGCAGAAAAAACTGTTCTTTCAGGGAACAGTTTTAGGAAGAGAAAATAGTCTCAAAGAGAGAAATCTGGATAATGGGAGTGGGAACAGCTGTGTTCATGAACTTGTTTTGAGACCAAATATTCTTTTTATTTAATGACCAATGTAAAGTTACACTGTCATTCTGTACAGTGCATTTGGAACATTGGTTGTCAACTAAATGATATAAGATGCAGCATTAAGAATTTTCTGTTTCATTCTGCATTAAAAATTTTGTGTTTATCCAGGTGATAAATGACTTTTCAAATTGTAGTGTAGTATTCTTGTCAAATTTACAAAGATGTAAAAAAAAAATAAAAATAAAAATAAATAAAAAACTGTTCGTTTAATTTCCCCATTCTGTAAAATATTTTGTTGCAAATACAGTGAGGAAGACTTCCACTAATTTTTATAATATTGCAGTGGTCATTGAATGCTGTTCTTGTAAAACAACTATTGTCATTGGTATGAGATGGTGTAATCTGGCTTGCAGCTGATACTCCAACTTTTTTTTGCAAGTTCTGCATATGTTTGAGGACAGAGCTCTGAGAGTCCAATTCAGTTTTTTAGTGCTCAGCAAACCAGCTGTGTAGCATGTGTTTTGAATGTATGCATGTTCATATTGAAATAGGAATGTGCCCATACCAAAATATTACCATAGTGTAGATCACATGGAATTGCTCTTGTGTTCCTAGTTTTCTTTATAGGATTTAAAGGGTAAAGTCAACCATAAAATATGTTCTTAAATGGTAATGCTTCTATTTCCTAAGTTTACTTTGGAAATAGATTGGGTAAGTACTGTTCACTAGGTATTTTTTGCACTTGCATGAATCCGTTGGATTTCTCCACATAAGCACATTTCTGATTGTTCATTGACATTACCCAAGACTTAATGTCATTGATTTTTACACTGATGTAAGCAAGTTTTGATGCAGTAATGTTTGGTTTTTATGTATTTTTTGGGTCATGGAAACTTAAATTCTGTCAATGAAATGCCATTATGCTTTTATTATGCATATGCAAATGAATTGCCATCATGTTACATTTAGAAGCATTTTGTAGTTCAGTACAAATGTTTTCCACCAGTTTCATATTGTAATATAAGTAATAGATCCTGTAAATATAAAACTTATTGCTAAATAAATAAATGTTGATAATTACATAATATAGAGATGCTTCAAGTGGCAGTGATCTTCATTTCCTTACTTATTGATTCTAGACTTGTACTTCTAGTTATAAATTTTGGAAAGGGGAAATTTTGGGAAAATAGTTTTAGCTTGGGGTGCAGGAATGTTCTGCATTTATAAAAACTAATGTTTTCTATAATTCTCATAGATAAAAAAAAGATAAATCCAAAAAAGCTCACAATTCTTAAATAAATTAAGCTAAAAATGTTCCACGTATTTGTGTGTAGAATTCATGAAGATATTTAATAACACAATTTACTGAGATTATTTTTTAGGATTATTAATGCATTTTATTCAGATAGAAGCAAAACTGCAAAACAAACATTGCTATTCTATGTGATTGATGGTTCAATATTAAAAAAATAAATAAATAAAATTTTGTAGTTGATCCCGCAAAACTTAATTCCTAATAACTCTGTATTTTGCGCACAAAAGCATGGAGTTTCTTACATACTAAAACATAAATGAAGACATTTTGTAAAGGAAGTTAGGTTTTATATTTACAAAACCTTTGTAATTTTCTGAAAATTCTTTACCTTATTTTGAAAAAATTTTAAAGTGTGTGTATTTTGTGTCAGTATTTAAAGAACAAAGCTTATAACACCTTTTTTGAACACCCTGTATATAAGAGTAGTCATCAAACAACTCTTTATTGACAGAATTATATTGTTGTTTTACAAACCCTGATCTCTTCCATGTATTCATTTTATGGTTATTCCGTAAAAGATAAGTATAATTCTCATTATGACAAAATAAAGTTACACATAGCTGCGTATAATGAAGCATAGCTGATTAATTTTGCCTATTTCTTTGTGTGTGTTTTCATCCTTTCTTTTATATTTTAGCATGTTTCTTAATTTCATATTTATATTGCATGAGATATATTGTTTCAATATGTGTAATGTTTAATTCTTTATAAGAATTGTTTTAAATTCTTTATGGCTGTGACTAATCAGGAACAGCGTCAACAAGACCTTCTTATGATGGAAGAAGCCTTAAAAGAAAGTTATGAAATGCAGTCTGCTTCTATAGTTGATGCCACAACAAAACGTCAAAAACTGTTACAAGATATAGCTCAGGTGCCTTTAATTTTATATTTGTTTCCATTTTGTTCTACTAAATTATATCAATATGTATGCATTTTTACCTTAAATATTCCATAATTAATCAGGTCTTCCTTAAGGTAATGTCTATCAATAACTTCAAAAGCTGTTTGATTATTAAAGCAACTAAAATATTTAATTTAAGCTTACAGCATGTTTCTTGAAATAATATCTTGAGCTATTAGATCAACAGTTCTTCAAGCTTCAGAAAACATTTTGCTTCTGGTTTTTAAATATTTGATGCAGAATTCATATGCGATATATATATGCATTAAAGTATACATCCTTGAAATTCAAATTAAGTTTTGTACATTATTCATTATTATTTTGTTCTATTTATAGTGTTTGTGTCTTAACAACCTGTAGAATGAATTTTATCAGTAGTTGAAATTTATGGCCTATTATTGGAATATTTTCTGTTTCTATATTATTTCTTAAATCACATGTATATATTTGCATTCTATTGCATAGGAACAAGAAAGAATGGAAAATGAAATAATGTTGCTGCAAAGCAAAAAAGAAAAAGAGAGGCAGAATCTTTTATCAATTTTGGCAAATGGTTAGTGTACTATGTTTCTATCATTCTACATTAAATGAATGGTCTTTATAATAAAAGAAAGTAGTGACCTTGATTAATGATAATAACTACATTCAGTACTATTACATGTTGCCTTAGCCAAAAATAGTGTCCAATTTCTTTTCTTTCTACAATAGGCAGTGTATCCTAACTTGACATGCTGCCACCCATTGAAATTCCAAATTTCAGTATGTAAATTATAATAATTAATGGAATAATTTCAAGAACAACTAAGTCTACATTCAAAATATGAAAGCTTATAGATAATTTCCATCATGGCTATAATGTAAAATAATATAAACAGATAATTGTGAAATACAGTATAATATAAGCATTGTAAAGAACATAAACTAATTCACTATGCTACAGCTTTAATTGCTCTTTAACCATCTCTGTGTAATTTTTTTAATCAAAATAGGTTAAAAAATTGCATATTTTTTTATCACATTTCAAATCTACATATATTTTAAAGTAAAAACATACAAAAAATTTTTATATAAGAGTTTTTCTTCAGTATAGAATTAGATCGTAAAAAAAAGGTTTTGGGAAATTGAAGAATAATCATATATAAGCAAAAATTAAAAAATTAATCTTAGCTAGATTATGATTTATTTTATAAAATATAAAGATAAAATGTATATACTAATGAAAATATGAAAAATGCTTTAAAAACATGTGTTAGTAATGAAGTTTAGTATGATAAACTTTGAAACAAGGCTCTAGGCAAAGTCCTACCTCACCATCTTTGCACCGAGTTCATGTTTCTTTGTGAATTTTTTGCCAGTTTCAGTTTTTTAGCAACAACTAGCACACTGTCTACGAGGCTGTTGATAGGATTGGGGAGTCCTGTAATTGTCCTGTAATTGCCTAACAAAAATGCCTAACAAAATGTCAAGCAGTTATTCTCATTGGATTGAGAGTTGAACTACATCTGTCCGCGTAAACACTATTGCAAACTAAACTCCAGAAACATTATATTTTACAATGGGTTATCCTTTTTATAAAGGATACAAGCATTCCACAGTGATTGATACATGTATTGTTGAAAAAATTTTATGTAATATTTTCCTTATTGTTTTCTGAGAGTGGAATTATATGATTGTTATATACTGCTTCTTGGGCGGGTTCTTGGTATATGTTTCCTTAACGTAGAACATGCACTAAATGTGGGCATTGCATAAATCAGGGTTTGTACGGTCCTTAAAAGTCCTTAATTTTTTCAAAAATGATTTTTGATCCTTAAAATTCCTGAATTTTGGCCAAAATGTATAAAGGTCCTTAATTTTGCTCATTTGACATTTCTTATCATTTCTAATGATTGCCATTCTAAGTGTGAATTACAATTTCTCATGAATATGGAATTAAAATTACACAGCTCTTAACCAATCTGTTGGCGGATTTGTGTTGTAACGATAAAAAAAAAAAAAAAAAAAAAAAAAAAGCTACCCGAAAAAAAAATTTCCTGTTGACTATTCAATCCTTCTTCGAAACAGGTGTATCCATCAAAATTAGGCGCACATGGACCGGCATGGACCTTATAAATAGACTACCCAAGGGTGTTTCTCCCTTGTCTGAGGTGTTGCCGGCTGTCCCTTCACCACATCCGGAGAGTAGTAGGGACACTTCCAGAAAATTACATTGATTGCCTATTGCAGCGTGTATAATTGTCAAGAAAAAGCTCATTTCACAAATTAGAATTTCTACATGTTTTTTGAAATTTTGAAATTGAGATTGTTTTAAAAATGTAGCATATTTTATCGAGCATAATTAACATTCCAATAATTATACAGCTATTGCATGCTTTCAGGTCTGGGCTTTTTTTAGCTTTCGTATGCTGTAAGGAAATTTGTAACTACTTCTTTTTTAGAAAAAATATTTTAATCTGAAAAGAAAATTTCAACAAGCAATTTTTTCTTATGCTTTTTATTTTAATGTAAATAAGTAAAAATACTAAAATATTTAAAAACGAATTTTTGAAAGTTTTGTTTTAAAATTCTAAATTTGTGCTGCTTTTTTTAAATTATTAGATGAGTATTATAGCACAATTTCTATAAAGGAATTTTATTTCAATTATATTTCATAATATATCACAGTGATAAACACTTTTGACTCCTTAAAAGTTTTTTATACATTTAATTCTAATATTAAAATTGTATTTAACCGTAATAATTAATTTTGCTTGTATTTTATAGCGATTATTTTTGTAAATTTATTTTTAGTTCTGTAAACATTTTTTTTTAATTTATTGTTAATTTAATGTTTTACTTAATGCCCATCGCCCTGTATTATATGTGAATACATGTATGTTTTCTTGCACTGTGACAAAAACGACAGTATCTAGAGCCATCAAATTTTGAATAATGTAATCCTCCACCCCATGGGCATCTGGACGGCCGAATTTCGAATTTGTTTTAATCTATTTCACATTTTGTAAAATTTCAACGAATTTTTTATTAACAAACTCAGCGAGTTCAGAGCGAGCGAGCACTGTACGGAAAATATGCAGTTGTTTTCAAATGTATGTGGTTTACGGGTTTACGAAGAACATGATATTCAATAAATATAGGTAACACACAAAACTTTAAAAAAAGAGTTCCTTTTGGGCTTAATCTAGATTTTATTTTATTTTATCTTTTTTTTTTCCTTCATTACGCTCAGAAAATTTTATGCTCCGAATTTTATGAATTATTAAAAGTAAACTAATCCACTTTAATGTTAATAATTTAATGATCATATAATCAAATAAATATGATCGTTTTTGTAATGTTATTATAGTTTGGAAAACTCATTGCCTGAAAATGTTCATTAAATTAAAAAAAAAAAAAATTATCAGATCTTGTTTAATTTTACCTTATTTATTTCAAAGCATCATGTACTATCAATCTTATTTAATTTTACTTTATTTTTACGCAAAATTAAAGTTCATAAATTTTGTGCTTAGAGTTTTTTACCGTTTTAACCAAATAAAGATGTTTGTACAAGAATTACGCGGAAAAAAATGGCGCGAAATGCAGTTAAAAAGTGCTTTTATGAGATAGATTAAATCCTATTTGGAAAAAAAAACTGTGGCTTTCATAATCTCATCACTATACAATATATCCCATTTAATAATTAAAAAGAGTTATGTGATACAAACGCCATAGATTTCAGTGTTAAAATTAAGCAGATCGTCCCTACTCTTTCTTGCCGACATGTCGGTGACGCGCGCCCCACCCACGGGTTAGTCTACTTATAAGCCGAAGTTCTTTAGGCAAAGTGATGATGAAGGTGCTCAAAAAAAAAAGGGGGGATTCTGAAAATATTTGCCAAAATTAGAAGCAATTCCAACCTGGAAGGCCACAACCCTTCCGACGCCAATAGGAACGAGATGCCTGGAAAAGTGCATTTTCAATAAACTGTGGCTTCATCAAGCTGACTACAAAGACTGGATATTGATGGATGGCAATCCTTATAAAGCTAAATGTGGTCTTTGTCTGAAACAAATTGAAATTTCTAGAATGGGAGAGTCAGCGCTGAAAATTCACATGAAAATTAAGTTTCGTTTTATCATTTCAATTTGTTTTTACACGGTTTTGCTTAGCTTAATTTCTGTGTTTGTTTCAATTAAGCCATAAATTAATTTTTTTATCACCTTCTACGGAGTTTATTCTCTTTTGCATGCACATATATATATGTATGGGATATCGGGATTATGAGTTTATTTCTGCAGAGGGTCTGTTATCGATTTCGCGGGAAATCTGTTGGCTCCATTTTCGATTTTAGGTCGCCAAGGGCAAATTCGGTAACGCTAGCCGAGAAAAAGTGAAGTTCGGAAATACGTTTTGAAGCTTCAATAGACAATTAAGTATTTGGTTTAAAACCTATGTTTGTTGATAGTAATGCATAATTTTTGCTAATGGCGATACAATTATTAGTTGAAAATAACTAACTAATTAAAAAATTTTTTAAATATTTTTAAAGCTGAAAACAACTAATTGAAACTAATTTTCCTGAATTAACTAGACGCAAAATTAACTTTCATGAATTACTAAAGTTATTGGGTAGAAGTTTAACTGAAAATATACATTCCTGTATTATATATATATATATATAAAACAATGTATATTTTAGTTAAACTTTACCCAATACTTTATATATATATATTTACACATATAATACTTTATATATATATATAATATATATATATTTACACAGTACAAAGTCCTGAGGTCTGGACTCGTCGGGACTTCGGCGATCCCAGATTTGAGATTTTTCCGGATATTAGATCATTTTAAATCTACTAAGATGGCACGTAGAAATTATAAAATTGAAAATATGAAATCGTGATTTATGAAATAATGAAGCATTTATGATTTAAAGGGTATCAAAATTTACAAAAGAAAAGAGCTTAATATTTATATGTTTACTTTATTAAACATTTCTTTCAATGTGAGTTGTTTGATTTGTTTTCTCTGCTAATACTTTAGACTAATACTATAGACATATAATTTCTTGTTCAGTTATTAAGTTCCATTGTTCAAGTCCTGTAATTGCTGTGTCGAGAATTCCGAATAACTTGTCAATCAAAATTTTTTCTCGTTCAGTAACCTCTCTGTTACTTTCTTCACTATCGGTAGCTGTATTTTCTGGATTTAGAACCATACTACAGATTTCGCCCTCCGTTAATTGATTGATGATTGGGCATTGTCATCGCAATGAAAAACTTCTGTTTAACTTCGCTAAATTCTTTCTGCCGCCTGGTGCGGCCATGCGAGCTCTGGCGCTGGTTCTGGCTTTATGTGAATAACAAATCAGTTATTCTTAATTCAAATAGCACTAAATATAATCGTTTTGTCCTATGAGTATCATTAACAAAATCTATTTTTAGCATAAGGAAAGAAATTTCTGCTAAATCTCCCCTTGTCAACATTTTAGCGCATTAAACTTAAATCTGTAATCGTATAATACTCTGTTATTTGGCATCGCTGCATGATTCATCACTC